CCTGTTGAAGAGGCGCCGGGGTCTGTTTGTTTTCCCCTGCGGCCACTCACTGCGCTGGCTTAAACAGCGGCACTGAGGTTTGTGGCGCTTTTTTTTTGTTTTTTCCCCTGGAATCTACTGTCCTGGTTCTCTGCTCAGTCCCCTTTTTGAGCTGGCATACGGGCGACTTCCCGTGGCTCCAATCGCCAGCCAAAAGGGCCCCCGGACCAGTGTATTTTGTACGGAGATTGGCGGCTCCGGGGCGCTGACAAAGCAGCCGCGCGGGGCAAAGCAGCGGCGCTGGCAGGCGCTGGCGGCACAGCCGCGCTGGCCGAAACAGCCGCGCTAGCGACCGTGGAGCACCTCTGCCCGGGAGTTTCCTGGTCTGTGGGCAATAAAAACACGGCGTCCACTCACCCTCTGCGCTTTCACTGGGAGCTGTGATCCTGAGCTGTTCCTAAACGGCCATCTTGGATCCGTACCCAAAGCAATCAAATTATTAAGTATATTTTAAAAGTAAATAATATGGAGGAACTAACTCTTTTAAACCTTGAAAATCAAACTAAGTCAGGTGCAGTGCTCTGTACAGTACAGACAGCTGGCTGTTTATTTGCCACATTGAAAGAATACTTTATGCTATGTAAAAATATTAGTCCCCATATTTGATTATTTCTACCCATAACAACATATGTATACTTTGTGAATCTCAAAATGCGTGCTGACTGAGAACATTCTTAAATTGATTTTCATTTCTACTGGATCACTCTGTTTCCTAATTAGCCTGGCATAATAGTGAATTTTGTTAAGTAATACTTTTATTTCAGTGAATGGTAAATCTTAATTTTAAAAGTGCTCTTTTGGCCAAGTGCAGTGGTTTACGCCTGTAATCCCAATACTTTCGGAGGCCAAGGCAGGTCGATCACGAGTCTGGAGATCAAGACTACCCTGGCCAACATGGTGAAACCCTGTATCTACTAAAAATACAAAAATTAGCTGGATGTGGTGGTGTGCACCTGTAGTCCCAGCTACTCAGGCTAAGGCAGGAGAATCACTTGAATCTGGTAAGCGGAGGTTGCAGTGAGACAAGATCATGCCATTGCTCTCAAGCCTGGGCAAACGAGCGAGACTCTATCTCCAAAAAAAAAAAAAGTGCTCCTTTATTCATTTTATAATATCATATTTGCTATTGGTATTAATAATTTTGTCCATTGTACTTTCTTGGCACTGCATTAATTTTAAAATTCACTAAGTACAAATGAATTTACTAATTTGATGATCATATATACATTTTATACTAACATAAATATCACAAGCTACTTTTTATTATTACCATCTTTCCTTCATTTCATTATTCTAAGGCTTTCTGAGGTTGGAGTTTCCTATAGTATTTATGGAATACATATGTTATAGTATAGCAGTCACTGTTATGTGCACTAGCTGTAAAGGCCTCCTACCCTCTCTTCTCTTTCTTCAGAAATTAATTCACTCTCTCTGTCTACTTTTCTTTAGTTTGTTTTATTGTTACCCAGTTTTGTTTATTTACTAACATTGTTTTCAACCTTTTTTTTTTTTTTTTAACATCAAATGCTTTTTACATTTCAGCCTCATTAAACTAAGTACATGTTTTAACTTGGTGTGCAAAGCCATGTTTCTAATTTGAAACAGCTGCCTTACAGGAAGCCTCTTGGGATAGACATGAGTCTCTCAATGAATGTGTTGATGACAGGCCTGATTGTTGACTTTTAACTTTTATTACAGCTGTAAAGTTAGGAATATGTTATCAGATAATTAATCCAGAAGAGGAGGGTGGAAGGGTTGATTCACTTTTCAATTAGGCAGCATGAAGTGTGGCATAAGATGGGAGAATCAGCCCATGACTAAAAAGGCCGTAAGAAACCACAATTTTTTTGTCTAACATTCAATTTTTCTTTATATTGAGCTGAAATTTACCCCTTTAATAATGTGATAGTTTTAAGTTGTATTTTCTATAGATATACATAATGAATCAAATCCCTTTTCCATAAGAACTATTAATTCTGTTTTTCTTTTCTACTTATCATACTCTAATTTCCTTAAAACCCCCTTCCTCCCTCAGTCATAAAATTTTTGAGCAATTTGTTTGTATGAATTAACTCTCTTAATTCTTACCCTATGAGATATTATTTTCATTATGTCCATTTTATTGAGACTCAGAAAAATAAAGGTCTCACAATCAGTGAGGGGTTGAACCAGGATTTACCCAAGACTATTAATGTTTGGCATTCAGGCTTTTAACTGTAAGTCTTCCCAACCCTTCTTTATAAGGCACATTTTCTGGCCTCCTTGCTGTTGTCTCTTCTCAGGATATATTCATGTTTTGTCAAGCACCTCTGTTATAAGACAGCACAAAAAAATGAACTCAATACTTCAAGTTTTCTATAGCCTAGAGTGGGACAACTTGGGCATGAGCTATCTGCCTGTACACTTATGCAAGCCAAGTTTGTATTGCAGATTTCTTTTCATGCCTCAGCTTATCTTGTGGAGGTATTAAATTGGATCTTATCCTTCTATGTATGTGAGTATGTGTGTGTGTGCATGTGCATATGTATATATGTATATGTGTATATATTCATGCATTTTTGCATTTAAAAGGACTTTACATCTTTTCTTGTTACATTATACTTTGCCATCACTAGTATATTCTAGCTTAGTCAGATTTTTTATCTCCGCCTTTGCTGTTCTTTTCTTGTTTGTGACTTCTACAAATTCAGTAAGTATGCCTTCAGTCTACATTCAAGACTGCTTTTTTTAAGGTGTTCTGAGCAGTCACGCTGGATTCTTGAAACACTTCAGTTGAGATTTCTTGGTCAGTATGGCCAGTCAAAATATTATGATTTGTCAGTTTCTTGTTTTAGAGCATTCTTTGGTCATTCTTGAGTTATATTTTTAAAGCTACTCTCTATGAGATTATGCCTACCTTTTCTGTGCAGGTTTCAGATTATTGTGCCTACTGTTCAAATCTCCTGGATCTGAAGCTGAATTGCAGTTAGTTTTTCATCCCTCTTTTAGTCTTTTTGACAAGTGTTGAGTCCTTGTTCTTAGGAACAGCTAAAAACTTTGCATTCTAGCCTGATAACTCCACCTTTCTCATTCCTGCTAACATTTACCATGTCGCTAAGCATTTTTTATTTGCACTAATTTTGTACTAGCTTAATGAGAAGATACAGTTACAGTCCACTTCGGAGTCACATCTGCCAATAGCTCACTGTGTGTTTTGCATGTCAGCAAATCTCTACCGGCTTTATTTTCCTCATCTATATTAAACAGAGTTGGACTATGACCTCTGAGGTTGCATTTATTCCAACACCTATGATTTTAAAGTATACCAAATCACTTTTAGAAATTTCAGGCTAATTTAAAAAATTAAATAAAAAGCAGTGACTCAACTTTGCTCTCCTAAGTTTCATCAGGGCTGACCTTCATCTGATAGGTATTCATACAGTCTCCTTAGTAACTTAAATTTTGAAGGATTTCTATCTTGTAGGACTTCCAAGCAATCATTGCCTCAGCTGCCTCACCTGCTAGCTGGCCCTCAGATATACTACCACAGCTCCTGCACACAGACCATTTGCTCTCAACCAGACACGACACCCCTGGTTGTCACACAGGCACCCCAGTAGGCAAATGCCTGCTGTTTTCCTTTACTGTGGTTGCAGGCAACTCACAGGCTAGCAGATGATTTGCCAAAGTCACCCTCCTGTGGTTGCTTTTGGCTAATGTTATATATGGATTACATCACACATAGACTCCTTCTAACATTGCACTAGTTTAACAAAGCCATTTTGAGCATATCCTCTATATTCATATTACTGTGGAGTTTACAAAATTAGCAATTTACGTATGCAAAGATTGTTCCAAAGCTGAAAGTAAATGACTATATTTCAGAGTTCAGCTTTTAAACTCAGTTTTTAAAAAGCAATTTACTCACCTATTTGTGGTGATTACACCCTTATCCCTTAAATGTACATCTCATGAAATCCTTGGTGTTTCATTTCTTTTAGAAATTTATCTTTTTTCTAGGTGAATGAAATTTACCATGATGAGTCCCTCGGAGTGCATATAAATGTGGTCCTGGTGCGCATGATAATGCTGGGTTACGCAAAGGTAAAATGTCTTAAAACGCGAATTATAAACATTAGGGGCTGGGTTAACAGAAGACTAAATTGTTCAAGCTCCATCTAACTTATGGCAAAGATATATTTCACATAAACTTCCGGTTGCTTGAAATTGAGGAGGAGAAACTGCCACATGAGTGGAGACGTCCAAATTTGAGCAGATTATGAATGATATTTTGTGCAGCTACCATTTGCTTATTTACTTCTGTTTAAAGATGCAGATAATTACCCTGACTTTAGGTATAACTTATGAATGGATACTATTATGAGGAGAGAGAATTTCCTTAGCATATTGTTGTCACTGAGTTTGTGTTTCATTTATTCATGAGAAGCCTTCATACTGAATACCTACTAAGTGGCAGGCACTTTCTAGGTGCTTGGAATGTATAATGAATTAAAAAGAAAAAGATATTTGTATTCTCTTGATTCCCTAAAAATAATATTTTATATACATATATCTTTTCACTTAAAAAGAGTGAAGTGCACAGTGAATAGTTTTCATTTAAAAGAGCTTTAATTCTTTCAAAAGCAAAGAGATGAATCAAAACATGCACAGTAGGCATTTCATGTAATATAACTGATTTTAGCTCCTTTAAGGAGAAAACATACAGGAAATGACTAGCTTGACAATTTTCTTGATGTTTAAAATTACACATCTTTCTCCCATAATTAATCTTCCTGATTATGAAATACTAACAAAGTTGTACATTTAGGAAACAGGAAAAATCCATGTGTTCACATTTCATTATATACTTAACATTCACTTATCATTTTATATGATGATAGGGTGTCAGCAATCTTTAGTTTATCACATAAACCTGACTTACTTTGTATTGCCAGCAAGGAATATAAGTTAGCTCCAGCTGGAAATAACAGCTTCCAATTGGTCATTAAAGTATTTGTTTAGAAACGTATGCGATCAGTATATAAAAAAAGATGCTGATTGTATTAGGAATGTAAACACTGATAATAACATTTGCTGAACCATAACAAAAATTCAGCCTGTCAGCCAAATAGGGACTAATTTTTGGTTCCAAGTTCGATTTTTCATTTCATCAGAACTACTCTGGGAAAGGTGGCTAGTGGGTTCTTGAAGGTTGGACCCTTTTCCTTCTGAACTTTTAACTCCTGACCATAATGTGTGGTAGCAACATTCAAACAATTTATTTTCTATACCAGAACTGGAAAAGCCCACCCCTATTCAGTAGCATGAAGTAAAAAAATGGGATTTTTTGTTTTTTAGCTTAAATTTAATATGATTTGGTGGTTCTCCATAGACTAAGATTTCACCAGCTTTGCCAACTCATAGAAGAACTCATATTCTCCCCACGTTAATTAATTCTGGATCACAAAAAATAAAAATCTTAACTAAGATTTTATACCTTCACATCTTGGGGAAAAAAATGCCAGAATCTTTCTCAATATTTTTGTTCTTAATTCTGTAAAACTCAAATCTAAGCCGAATCAGGAATTATTTAGACTACTAAAATTATTACCTAAATGGTTAATATTAAGTTGCCTCACAATAGCAAATCTCAGTACCCTCATACTTTGGGAGGCCAAGGCAGGCAGATCATTTGAGGTCAGGAGTTTGAGACCAGCCTGGACAACATGGTGAAACCCCATCTCTACTAACAATACAAAAAAAAAAAAAATAGCCAGGGATGTTGGTGGGCCCCTGTAATCCCAGCTATTCAGGAGGCTGAGGCATGAGAATTGCTTGAACCCGTGAGGCAGAGGTTGCAGTGAGCCCAGATGGCACCACGGTGTTCCAGCCTGGGTGACAGAGGGAGACTCTGTCTCAAACAAAGCAAACCAAACCATTCTCATAAATGCTATCATTTGACTTTCACACAGGTAAATTGACCATTATTAAAATATCCTTCATGGGCATTTAGAATTCACAAATCAAAGAAAATATCAAAATAAGCCGCAAATATTATTGAATTATTGTTTAAATACTGTAATCCCAAATTCAACTTCAGGGAAAATTATCAAATGAAGCCTTTGCAGAATTGTCATGTGTCTTTAACATATGTTTCCTCTTAGTCCATCAGCCTCATAGAACGCGGAAACCCATCCAGAAGCTTGGAGAATGTGTGTCGCTGGGCTTCCCAACAACAAAGATCTGATCTCAACCACTCTGAACACCATGACCATGCAATTTTTTTAACCAGGCAAGACTTTGGACCTGCTGGAATGCAAGGTATTGCCATCAATATATAGAAGAAAAGCTTACGAGCATGACTTTTAAAAAGTAATCCTAAATCAGGCAGTCTGTTCAAATGTTCAACTCTCCACCACCACTTTCTACCACACACAGGCCAAGCATACATTTTCTTTCTGTGGCTTCCAGTGACTTCTGTGGAATTCTCAATGTTAAATGCCACTTAAATACCATCATAAATTATACTTGCTTTTAAAATAATGATTGTGCATTTGGGGTATGGAGGGGATGCTGTAAAATGCAGTGTGATTCCCACTGACTGTTTGGAATGAGAAAAGAGATGCCATGAGAAATGACTGCTGCCAAAGAGCTTTCTTCCAAAGTCAGCTTACATTTATCTAATAAATTCTGATGTAGACTTTGGAAGAAGCAGACTGATGATTTTCTTTTCAACATCGATGGAATTTCTGGCTTCCTTCATCAGTACCATGACATGAAGGACCATTTACTAAAACAGAAAGACAGGGCTTAGCTGGTGGGCAGAAGAGAATGGTAACCCCGGGCCATTCCTCCCCTTAGGAAAGGAGAAAATGCAGACCCAGTGAATCTTTTTAGAGACCATTACCTGTGGCTTTCCCAAGAGAATGTGGCACAATGCTAGTAGAGAAATAATGCTTCTCCTGTTTCCTGAAAGGCTTTTACTTTTTTTCCTCTAGGCAAAGGTCCAGGAGTAATTCTTTATGGGTTTTCTCATAAAATGAAAACAAAAGTAATTGTTATTCTCTGCAGGATATGCTCCAGTCACCGGCATGTGCCATCCAGTGAGAAGCTGCACCCTGAATCATGAGGATGGCTTTTCATCGGCTTTTGTAGTAGCCCATGAAACAGGCCATGTGTAAGTTACTGCTGACAGCTATAAAGCCAAAAAAAGATCTTTTCTTTCCTGCTTCTCCCAGTATTGTTTCCTCTTTGGGCAGAATGCATGCCAGCATGCAATTCTTGTCTTTTGCCAAGTGTGAAGAGCTGCAAACAGGGAAGAGGTCATGCACATGCACTGAAACTAAATGAGTAACTGGCTTGCAGAGGCATTCCTGTGGTTTTCAGAGCTGTAGAATAAGAAAGGCATTTCTATCGGACTGCTGTTGATTTCCATTTCTGCAACTCCTTCAAGAAAGCCACATTGACTTAAAAACACATATTTCTCAGGGCTTATTTTCAAAACCAAAATTAAGTGAAGGCAGTAGCCCCCGATTCTTACCACTGAGGTCTCCTTGTGTTCTAGGTTGGGAATGGAGCATGATGGACAAGGCAACAGGTGTGGTGATGAGACTGCTATGGGAAGTGTCATGGCTCCCTTGGTACAAGCAGCGTTCCATCGTTACCACTGGTCCCGATGCAGTGGTCAAGAATTGAAAAGATATATCCAGTATGTCCCCTACTGCATGTCATGAGAGTATTTATTTCATAGTCTACAGACATAAAAATTGACTCTTAGGGCTTGATCATAGCAAAATTCCCAGTAAATGAAAACTATTATTAATAAACATTTCCTTATCACTCAGAACATTTGGCACAACAATTTTATCACGGAGTCACAAAACTTGAAGCCATAAGTCTAGAATATAAGTACATTTTTAACTATAATGTAATTTTCTGTTAGTAAATTGTTATAGAACCTTCGATTAATGGTCAAACTTGAGGATGAGGGGAGGATGATCATGTGTTTCCTGCATTTTTGCATTTTTTTTTTTTTTTTTTTGAGAAAGAGTATCACTCTGACACCCAGGCTGGAATGCAGTGGTGTGATCTCAGCTTACTACAACCTCTACATCTCGGGTTTAAGCAATTCTCTGCCTCAGCCTCCTGAGTAGCTGGGATTACAGGTGCCTGCCACCATGCCTGGCTAATTTTTTTGTATTTTTAGTAGAGACAGACTTTCCACCATCTTGGCCAGGCTGATCATGAACTCCTGACCTCATGATCCACCTACCTTGGCTTCCCAAAGTGCTGGGATCAACAGGCATGAGACACCATGCCCGGCCGGTTCCTGCATATTGTACCAGCTATACTCTACAGCATAGATGTCAGGATGTGCCCTACCACACCAAGTGGTGGTTTAATTAGTGACTCGAATAATCATGGCTCTACTACATTCCTAAGCCATGCTTGATTTACTTTCCTAGCATGAATACAGATGAAGAGTCCTTTTCTAAACAGACCCAAAACGAAACCTTAAATATATGTTTTTGCAAACTTGCTGTATGATCTGGGATGAAAGTCTAAAGTATATAAGCTAAGACTACTCTTTTTAAATCAGGACATGGTTTTTTAAAATGAACATTTAACTACATGCAATATTTTTCTTCCTGCAGTTCCTATGACTGTCTCCTTGATGACCCTTTTGAACATGATTGGCCTAAACTCCCAGAACTTCCTGGAATTAATTATTCTATGGATGAGCAATGTCGTTTTGATTTTGGTGTTGGCTATAAAATGTGCACTGCGGTATGTTGCTCATAGTTGATGTGGATTTTGCATCTCGAAATCTATTTGTGTAGCTCCTGCTTGGTGAGATTTACAGACTCACTGGTGCAAGTATAATAATATCTAGCGGTTATTTTTTGTGTTCATTATGTTGTTATGTGCTACAGCTAAATGCTTTAAATATATTATCGTATTTAATTGTCATGACAGAATAGAAGACAGCTGATATATTTTTATTTTACAGAAGATAAAGCCAAGACTTAAAGATTAAGCAACTTGCTTAAGGCACACAGCTGGTAAACAGGGGAACTGGACTTTGAAACCAAGGCTGCCAGGCTCATATTTTCATGTCCTATTCATCCCATGGTTCTTGTGACCTTCAAAAGAAGATGACTGTTAAGCCTTAGATATATTGCTTTTCTTTAGCTTGATGGCCAGGATTCCATGTATGTGTGATCATAGGAAAGGGTTGTGCTGGTATAGTCTTGTAAGAGAATCATATGGCATAGCATGGGGGTCAGGACAGTGGGTCAGGTCCTGGATCTGACACTTTCTAAATGTATAACATTAGGCACCGTATTTAATCTCTCTGACATACTTTCATCATGTGTAATATGTAGATAATGATAGTACTTATCTGATAAGATTAGTGTAAGGATTAAATTTGATAATATAATTAAAGTGCTTAGCACAAGAAAGGCGCATATATATGTTCAATGGAATCCATTGAAGCCAGTCTTCCATGTAACTATTCACATTAGAGTTATGTTTCATTAAATTTCCATATTGGTCTTTAGTCATTCATTTAAAATAAAAAAAGAAGGGCTTTTTATACATTGGAACAAGCTTTGTGTGTTAGAGAAAGGAACATAAGAGTATTTCATGGGACTAAAAAGAAATTGATCTGTTGTTTGAAACCTTCCATATGCAAACATTTGATCTGCCCGTAAGGTATACACTGTGAGCTCTAAATGACTTGCATTAATGTTTTAGATCAGAGAATCCTAAAGCTTTAGCTTAAGTCATGGAAAAGTAGAATTTCCATATTCAGCAATAAATATTAGAACAAAAAACCCACATCTAAAAATGTGTACTAATAAAAAAAATTTTCTGGCTGGGCACAGTGGCTCATGCCTGTAATCCCAACACTTTGGGAGGCCAAGATGGGTGGATCATGAGGTCAGGAGATCGAGACCATCCTGGCCAACATGGTGAAACCCCGTTTCTACTAAAAATACAAAAAAATTAGCTGGGTATGGTGGCACACGCCTGTAGTCATAGCTACTCAGGAGGCTTGAGGCAGGAGAATTTCTTGAACCCAGGAGTTGGAGATTTGCAGTGAGCCGTGATCGTGCCACTGCATTACAGCCTGGGTAACAGTGCAAGACTCTGTCTCAAAATAATAATAATAATTTCTATGCATATAAAGGTTTATGTAGGTAATTAGCAGTATAGGCAATAGACATATGGATAAACATGTTTGATATTTTAAAAAATCTATGTAGTGATTGGTAAGATGTTTACATTTAGAGAGAAAAAGAGCAAACACAAATATACATGTCTGCTTATACAAACATTTGGATATTATAATGTGGTGTTTTAAGAAAATAAAAACCATTCTGAAAGATTGTGAAAGCCAAGACTCTAGTCTGGTTCTGTTACTGTCTAACTTGTAACCATAACTATAGCCCTGACTTGTAATCCATATTTCTCAGCCATGGATTAGTATGACAATCAAATATATGGAAAAATATTTCATAAACTGTATGAATGTATTATATTTTTTATATACCTGGAATAGTTTATCTTACACAGACAGTTTGACAATTTTTTCTGCTTTTAATCAACTAATTATTATTAGTATTTTTATTATTTGTATTCAATTTCATACCTACAGGGATAAAGAAAAGATGTTCTGATAGCTTGAGAGCTGCCAAACCATTATATTTTCATATTTACAATATTCATGATAACTACTGAGCCTTTCAAAAATTTCAACATTGTCTATTTGAAAAATAAAACATAGAAATGGCAAGCAGAAACATTAAAAGTCAACCAGAGAATGTGAGACAAATCATTGTTTATCATTGTTATTTTAGAAAAGCAGTATAGAAGTATTATCTACCTGAAATTCTTATGCAGTTTTTTTCTTAATGTGTCACAGCTTTGGCTACTAACCTGAAATAAACACATCTAAGAAACAGGACAGATGAAACTGCATAGAATATATTTTTGGTGCATGTCATGCTAGCTGAGAGTTCACTGAGAATTTGATTATCTGTCTTCCAGTTCCGAACCTTTGACCCATGTAAACAGCTGTGGTGTAGCCATCCTGATAATCCCTACTTTTGTAAGACTAAAAAGGGACCTCCACTTGATGGGACTGAATGTGCTGCTGGAAAAGTGAGTGTATCTATTTACACAAGAAATATGTAAGATATGTTGCATAATTCTCTCTAAAGGTCTGGAAAATATTGAACACAGCTGCATTGTCATTTTCATGAAAACCATAGTTTGCGAGGTTTCATTTTGGTAATGCACTAAGATGGTATACGAGTTCCCTGTGGCTAAGGTAACAAATTATCACAAACTTCGTGGCTTGAAACAATGGATATTTATTCCCACATAGTTCTAGAGTCCAGAAATCAAAAATCAATTTCAATGAGCTGAAATCAGTGTGTGGGCAGGGCCGTTCTCCTTCCAGAGGCTTTAGTGGAGAATCTTTTCTTTGCCTCTTCCAGCGTCTGGTGACCACCCTACATTTCTTGATGTGTGGCTACATCACTCCAGTTTCTGCTTCTGTGGCCAAGTTGCCTTTTCTCATCTTTGTGGGTCAAATCTCCCTCTGCCCCTCTCTTACAAGGATATGTGTAATGGCATTTAGGGCCACATGGATAATCTGGAATAATCTCTCCATTTAAAAATGTTTAAGGTAATCACATTTGCAAAGACCCTTTTTCCAAATAAGGTAATATTTACAGGATCCAGGGATTAAGACTTGGTATTTTTGGGACTACTATTCAGCCCACTATTGGCAGAGAAGGAAGAAGCAACTCAGCAGACTAACTGCCCCCCTGCTAGTGGGATCTGATTGACTTGCTGGCATCCCATTCCTTGTGAAAGTTGCCCAGAAATAAAGTCATGTGAACTTATACAGAAGATTTGGCCTTGTTCCTCAGGGAAGGATGCCCAGAGGTTTTAAATCTCAAATTGTGTAGTCAGGATTGAATGCTCAGAAATTGGCTGAGTGCCAAGCTATGCTACTCATAAGGGCAAAGATCCCAAAACAAAGCCATGTTAAGAACTCAAGTTGAAGAGCTTTGACTAGTTTAGAAATAAGACATTGTCGGCAGGACCAAAATCTGGTACAGAAGATTTACATGGCTTTTAGTTCTTTTAAAGTTCAATTTCAAATGTGTATAAACTGTACTTGTGACAAGGATTATATGCATAATCACAATAAAGCCTGTCTTTTTAGGTGTTAGTACTATGGGAAGGACATTATATACAATGCTTTGCTTTGAGAAAATTCAATATTACAAACTACTGACTAAAAACAAGAGCAATAACGAGCCGATTCATTTTTGCTTTATGAAACATTATGTAACTTTTTAACATCCAATTTTCTTAAATATATTGAAATTTATATTAACATTTATATTGAAATTTATATTAAACTGATATTAAACTATCAAGAACAGATACTACACTTGATCATAGCCAAAAGGCCAAGAAGCGATATATTGAAATTTATAATAGTAGAGTTTTAGCAAACACTTTTATTATATGTGGTATTAAAAAGTCAAAATGTTGGAGAGGAAAATGACTAACATCTCTTGAGCGCCTGCTCTATGCTGGGCACTGTAAGCTGGGTGCCTCTATAGTCTTAGGGTGCTAGTAGCCCCACTTAATTAGTTCTTGGTCAGTAGCCTTCAACTACTTATGAACCTTTCTGGGTCTCAATTTTTCTCATCTAATTGGTGATGATTTTATATATATATATATATATGTGTGTGTGTGTGTGTGTGTGTGTGTGTGTGTGACCCACTATTTCTCAGAATCATTGTAAATGAAAAATTTTTAAAGTTAAATAAAAGTGCTTTGAAAGCTGCACATCTTGGACATGTTAGATTAATTATTATGTAAGTTGAGACATATTTTCATGTTATCATTTAAAAAAAGATCATATAGCCCTCAAAATATTCTGATATGATATAGGCAGTGAGAGATGAAGGGTAAAATATTACCAACTATGCAAGCTGGGTGCTCAAAGAGTTCTTATTAATTATAGTGTTTGATGCTCACTGGTGAACGTAACATTTAAAAACTTGTCTGAGTGAATGTTGTTTTTTCATTTTAATTTTACACCTGAAAAATACAAGTCTAAGTTACCCTTTGATAGGGTATATTACTGATATAATTGCTTTTGGATAATTTTAAATGTATCTTGACCTGAAAAACAAGAGCAGGAACAAAGCCCTTCGAATACATGGTTCTTATATAACAACTTCAGCTTTAGTGTATGCATGATTTTAATAGTCACCTTTTGTCACTTTTCTAAGTGGTGCTATAAGGGACACTGCATGTGGAAGAATGCTAATCAGCAAAAACAAGATGGCAACTGGGGGTCATGGACTAAATTCGGCTCCTGTTCTCGGACATGTGGAACTGGTGTTCGTTTCAGGACACGCCAGTGCAATAATCCCATGTGAGTGTACATCCTTGTAATTTTTGTTATTGTTGGAGAGACCAGGAAATACTTCAATATTATGTTATTAGTTTTCTGTTTTATGAAGTACATGTAAAATACAGGGCATGAAAAGAATTTTTTCACAGTTCATAAACCAGTCTATGTTTTCAATGCATCTTCATTTATCAATCTTGTGACTAGCAGTCAGTGATAAAGACAAGAAGATCAAATGAAGATTGGACACTTTTAAAGAAGTTGCTATTCAGGAATATTAAGAAGCTGAGCAGGGAAAGTAGATGACTATGCCTTTGGGGCGTGGGCATGGGCACTGAGAGATCAACTCCGAGAAGCAAAGGAGTGTCCAGGAGGGAGAAGAATCGAGCATACAGACTCACTGTCTTCAGGGAGTGGAATGTGATTGCTTCAGTGGAGGGCAAAAGAAAGATGGTAATAGAAGGCTAGGCGACTGTTGGGGGAAAGTTATCCATTCACTCAATCAGACTACAATTATTGAATCCCTATTGTGTGATCAGCAAACTTTATGAACGGAAAAACAACTGAATTATCACATTTAGGGCATTCTTCCTTGCTTAGGGTTTAATATGTGAGCAGCTTTTTCTCTCTTGTTTCTGGCAGCAAATGGCTCTGAGCATGTGTTTTGTAAAACTATCTGATGCCACATACCTGCCTTCACAGGAAGAAATGATGGTAGTATTAGAATTAATGAAAACAATAAAAATTAAATTAGAAGCTAAAGTTCATTATGAGCCAGGGTCTATTATGAGTGCTTTAAGTAACATCGACTTACTTAATCACAGTTTTTCTCAAAGGAAGATACTATATGATTTGCGTTTTACATATGAGGAAACCAAAGCATAGAGCAATGATCAAAGTTTCTTTGAGCTGCATCTATGTGTTTTATACATGGTAGAAAAGTATCATTTTATTGATACAATATATATGCCTTTTTTTTTTCTTATACACTTTTGCTGTGCCTTTAAAATATATTATTTGAAAAGCTGACTTAGTTGAGCTTTGTGTTTTGTTTTATTTTTCTACCCAACAGGGAGAGAAGGGTGCTTTTGGAAAGGGACTGAAATTAGGAAGTATGAGTTCATTCCCTTTGTGCTGGCAGCCCAGAAACTCTGGCTGTATGCCCTCAAGCCCTGTGTCTGCAAGCTTCAACTGCTAGACAGAAGCCAAAAGCCTTTTTAAATGTTGTCTTTTCTTTAGGCCCATCAATGGTGGTCAGGATTGTCCTGGTGTTAATTTTGAGTACCAGCTTTGTAATACAGAAGAATGCCAAAAACACTTTGAGGACTTCAGAGCACAGCAGTGTCAGCAGCGAAACTCCCACTTTGAATACCAGAATGCCAAACATCACTGGTTGCCATATGAACATCCTGAGCGTGAGTAGCCTCCTGCTTTTCTTCCTGCTGTGTGGATGGTTATGCAGGGTTTAAACTTTGCCAACACCAATCCCGTGGACTCTTGATCCCTACTTGGTAACTTAAGAATCTTGGTGCTAGGAATAAGTCCTCCTGGGTTTCTAAGAATAAGGCTAAAGTACCCTTTCTCTAAAGAGGTAAGAATTGTTCAATAGTTCCTGGCAAGCAGCACTATCACCACCAACGGTGATAAGACCAGTGGAAAGGAACGCCTGGGAGATATGTTGGATTTCCTGATTCAACCCAAATCCCTCCACTAGGAAATACTTCTGGAATATTGTGATCTTTCCTTTCTGGGAAAAATATAGTTCTTTGACAATTGGACCAAGACCAAGAGAAAGATCATTATTTACTAACAAAAGATATCTTATAACCTTTTACTTTTGTATTATACACTAATTAAAAAAAATACATTTGGAAATTTTCTTTTAATGTTTCACTTCTTAATTTTGGGTTAAATATGTCCAAGTGGCAACCTTTTGCCATACTTCTTATTTGAGTTAATGAAAGGAAATAGTTATACGATTACATACAGTATTGGGTTCAGTTCAAATCCATTTTAAAGGAAAGAGGAATACATGTAGGAATTCAAAGTTGAATTGCATCTTTTATCGATTTTGGTGAAGTGAATCACATCCTGTAAGAGGCAAAAACTGTTAGGTGATTGAGTCAAATCAGAGACAGTCTTTCAGTGCTCTAGTATTATGAAAACTAAACTGGTTTTGAATTAAAATTTATTTAAGAGCTACTATGGTGAGATCTAGGGTTGCCTGGGGCAGTTCCAGTTTATACCTGTTGTTCCTGTTCAGTTATTACTAGAGCCCTTTTTCCAGTTTAGATGACAAATTATATGATCACCGTAGCTAAAACAAATATGTCAAATGTACATACTTTTCTCCTTATTCCTTATTTTATTTGTTTATACAGTATTCCTTTTGTTTTCAATAAATCACATTGAAACCTAATGTTTAAAAATAAAAACTATCCTGTTCAAACATTCCATTTCATATAGTTTCATTTCATTCATTTCAATAGTTAATTTTATCCTCCATCTTATGCAGCCAAGAAAAGATGCCACCTTTACTGTGAGTCCAAGGAGACTGGAGATATTGCTTACATGAAACAACTGGTGCATGATGGAACGCACTGTTCTTACAAGGATCCATATAGCATATGTGTGCGAGGAGAGTGTGTGGTGAGTTAAAATTGCTTCCCCAAAGGCTTTCTAAAGTATCCACATTTACTCTTATTCATCTGCACATTTTTAATTCTTTAAACTATGTCTTATCTGTGAAATCACATGACAGTAAGAGTCTATGAATAGTTCAGTAGCTAAAATAAATTTGGGAGACTTTATACTTTCTCAAATCAAACTTCGGTCACTAGTAGAATCAAGTTTTAAATAATTTTCCTAATTTCCAGCCAAACGCCTTTTCTAAGTAACTCTAAGGCCTCTAGGTTGGCAATACAAACTGGGAATAATGCATTTGCTTTGGATATTTTAGTAGTGATCTACTATTAAAATTCCAGGTCTTTTTAAAAATAATCGGGGCTAAGTATATTTAATCTTTTGTTGTAAAGATAACAAGACATTTTTTTCTCACCTTCCAGTCAACTCTAAGATTAAATGCTAAATTTCACATTAGAACAAAAGTAATAGAGAAACACTGTTTTTTTTTTTGCTCCATTTAATCTCATGTTAAAAATGCGTTTTATTTCTTGTGTTTATAGTTAAATTGATATGAAATTATCTTATTAACTGAAACACTGCTCCTAATGTATATTTTCTTTTTACTTCAGCAAAACTAAAGTGTTGTATTAATGAGTCTAAAGTAATTGAGCTTAGATTTTCCTGAAAGTAGAGCATGTCTTGTTCAGCTTCTACCTGCCACACTATCTAGTACATTCAATGTATGTGTTGTCTTTATTTTCTCTGCCTCCTTTCATCCCACATTTTTGAGTGCAGTCGTGTATTGCGCATCATTATTCTACAGTGATTTACATTAAGAACATGCCTTGGTTCAGAAAACCTTCAGTATTTTCCTGTTTCCTGGGAAAATGTAAATTCTCCGTGGTATTCGAGGTTTTCTGCTGTCTGTTTAATGCAGATTGTCCACTGTTCTTTCCCTGTCAAGCGACACTCACCTTCCATTGGTTTAAATATGGGTTTAAATATTGACCTCTGAACCCACTTTCCATGAACATACAGCATCTCTCTGGCTTTGTCGTAGCTCTTCTGCTCTCCTGAAATGCTTTTCCATTCTGTTTCTTTGGTCCCTGTGAAAGTCTTCACCCCTCATATGAAGTTTTATCTCACATCCTAACCAACTTTTTAAGGTTGTACTAATATACAACTCACTATATTATCCATCATCATAAATGCGAGAGCAGCAAGGGAAAAGCACTGTGGTTTTTTTTTTTTTTTTTTTTTGTCTCCTCAGCATCAGCTGCATCTGTGCTCATTACATGTGTGTTTGATGACTATGACAATTTAAAATGGTGTAAATACTTCATTAGACTGGAGGAAACATATTATTACTTCGAGTACAAGTCTTTTGATTTCCCAATAGATTTTTTAAAAAACTGAGGTATTAAAAATCATGACTACAATGGCAGTTTACTGTAAATTGGCTGACTGCGGGCCATGATTGAACAAAGAGTTCATCATTCTCTGGGATGTTGACCACTACTGGGCACATTGAAATTAGCCACGTTTGACATCTTTTCTCTCCAGAAAGTGGGATGTGATAAAGAAATTGGTTCTAATAAGGTTGAGGATAAGTGTGGTGTCTGTGGAGGAGATAATTCCCACTGCCGAACCGTGAAGGGGACATTTACCAGAACTCCCAGAAAGCTTGGTAAGATGAGATCTCTCATGAATTTAGTATTCTTCTCTGTCATTTGTGCTTTTTGAGGCTTCTTCTTTTAGAAATGCAGCATTTTCTCTGCAAACATAACCAAAATTTAGCTGCTCATTTATTGTTGTTCAGATTACCTTTTAAGGAACTTAAACAAAACACTTTGAATTCATACTCCCTAGCATCAATGATAAAAAAAAAAAAATACTAAATTTAGAAAACAAACAAATAAAATCAGTATCAATTATACTAGCTAGCTAAAATCTGTTTTGTGTTCTTTTACATTTTAAATAAAATGCAGATTGAATTATTAGAACTAATGTTTATTTTGAATTCCTGTTGCCAGTAAATTATTGAGCAGGAGTTTAAAACTTACAAAACTTTAGATACAACCTTTAAAACGTTACATTAGTTTTACTTATTTTATTTTAAAAGCGAACAATTCTATTCTGTTTATAAATCTAGGAATCTAGGATCTATATTTCTCATTTTAAAAAATTTACTTTAAACAAAATTGAGGTACGACCAAAAAATAACCCAAGATGTCATTGCTCATCTCTGTAAATGTTTATGCTTGTTATGTAGTCAATAACTTGGACTTAGACATACACTGAAGGTTCAAAAGTGGAACAAAAAGCTGTCTTCATGCAACAAATATGGGCAAAATTATCCATAGTTTAGTAATATTCATTGGAATTTTCATAAAAGGTGTTTATGCAAACATTTATTACTGATTAATTTCTTGGGTTCATAACAGATAGTATGCAGTTATTCAATAAGGATTTATTGGGCAAATGTTTCTGGGAATTCAGCACTTAAAGATATACTTGATGTGGTGTTTGCTTAACATTTTCATATCTTCCAAAGAGCTGTTGCTATCATATAAAATCATGAAAGTAAAACAAAAAGAAATGTGGTTTACATTAAGCATATTGTCATGATGATAATTTTTCCTTTTATAAAAAAGTTAGCCTTCATCTGAATGATAAAATACTTTTAGTTTTTTTTTTACTCCCATTATACCCCAGGTACCTAATTCAAGTTAATCAGCTTTGCTCTCTGATATATTTAAGAAGGCAGAGCTATGAGACTATATTCTAATGTTTTTCTTTTTGCACATGTCTTTGCTATTCCTGTGTGATAAATTACCATGTTTTGTACTTTGAAAATTGTTAAAGCAAATATTGCTATTTCTGACTGATTGCATTATTTTATTAAAGCAACTAGAAATATAATTATATATGTGTATTATGTTTTAGTGGAATCAAATGTAATTTTCTCCATCTTGCTGTGAAATAATGTACTGTGCTTTCTTTACTGCAGTTTTTAAATTTTCTTTTGGATGTAAAATAATTCATTTTGTTTTATTTCCACAGTGAATTTTTGTAAAGAAAAGGTTTTGCCATGTTCATTCATTCTGTATATGTATAATTTAAGATATTGGTACTGTTTTTCAGATAGCTCAAACATTATGCTAAGCTTGCAAATCAAGGACAAAAGAACATTAGAAAATTTTCATCTGCCATATCAATTCAAACCATTCAAAGATAATCTAACATCCATATCTTTGCATTAATGTTGTCGTCATAGTGATTTAATAGACTAATTAACCTTTTCCAACAGGAAAACATTTAAGCAAGAGGTGCCATAAAGAATTGAAGTTGCTGGAAAATGAAATCTGCAAGTATTCAACTTCAAATCATCTATTTAGTCTTACTTTCATGCTCAGTCTTACTTTCATTGACTATTAACAGTTTATTGGCATTATCTATTACAAATGCATTGTGACTTTGACACATAAAATTACAGAACATATTTTATATCTTGCCCAATAAAATATATGGCTTATGGGATAGTCAATGAAACAGCAAGACTTGGATAAACATGAACCCGCCACTAATTAAAGACATTCTATTTAAGGGAAGACAAGAGGCGCTTTCACTTTACCTAAAGGAGCTCGTAATATTTCTCTAGCTGAAACAAGAGAAGCTAAAAATGTCCTGGGTAAGTTGTAGCAAACTGCAGAAAGATGGGCATCCATAAATGGCATCAAGCTGTTTTGCTGTACTTGGCATCTTAAGCATGTTCCTTCTAGCCACTATATACTCAGGCAAACATGGTACATTTTATGTGTTAGACTTTATCCCCAGATAAAAGTGCTGAATACCCTGATCCCAACAGGACCGCTTTATTTAGTCAGTAATATTTATTCACTAATAAATATTGTGAAAAAGGTAAATCTCGTCACAGGTATATATTATTGTACATATACAAAAGACAAAAACACTTCTGATTGCATCAATAATTGTGGATAACTGGATTTCTGTCAATACTCTCCATAGACTATGTACTGGATGTTTAATAATGTACAGAAGGTGTAGGTTACATAGTTGTCTTATATTCATTTATTTATATGATACTGAGATGTATAACATTTGTTCTAATTGAGCTATTGTTCATTTATGTTAACAATATTCATTCTAAATGATTATAAGATAATTTTTAGGATGTGATAATATCAACAGAGTATGTAATATATGACATTTACAGTAATAGGAGTGATAGATGATTTTAAAACCCAAAGCAACTAATTAATCATATTGATTTTTAAATTTCTGGCATAGGAGGTTTTGAGGTTCGAGTGCATATAAAGGCAATGTGTTACACAATTTGCACAGATTTACCTATCAAGTGGTTTAAAATCCATGTTGTAGATTTGGTTAAAATAGTCATATAAAACTTCTCTAAAGCTTTAAAATTAATACTGGTCACAAGAAAAATGAAAGCACTCATTTTTCTGTTGTAACTCCATTAGAATAAAGAAGGATTTTAAGTATAAAAATATTTTAATAATGAGAAGTTTAGCTATCTATACTTGCCTCTTAGACTTTTAAAATAACATGTAGGCAGATAACATATCCCAAAGAGTTCACCACTTAAGTTTCACTAAAAATTGACTCCACTTCAAAAGGATGATTTATAAAACTAGAACCACACCGAGAGACACAAGAAAGTATAGTATTTGCCTGAATTGTTGTTGACATCATTTGAAGGTCAACGCAAGATAAGTGACTAATAAGTTGGCAAGAAGATTAACTTATTTCCTCTTTAATGAGAAAAAACATTTTCCTCTAATCCCATTTCAGATGCCACAAAAGCTACCATTGCTTTGAAGTTAATTTCTGAAACTGCTTCTTTAAGTTNTGCAGAAGCAGTAAGAATGTAGTGCTCAGCTAACCCATGGTTGTTGCTTTTGTTTTTTTCTTGGCTTCCTACAATATTTGCTACACATGCAAAGGGTACCTTAAGATGTTTGCTATACCCCCTGGGGCTAGACATGTGTTAATCCAAGAAGACGAGGCTTCTCCTCACATTCTTGGTAAGTGTTTCTGTCTGCTGGCTCTGCTTTACTATGCACCGAAACATTGAAATGTCAAAGAAATCATAAATGTAGATATATGTATAGGTACATATATGTGCATACATATATGTGCTTACATATATGTGCATATGTAAGAATCAAAATATATATAAATGAATTAATTGAATATTATGTAGGTTTTTTTTGGTAATTTCTCTCAACTATGCTTACTTTAAAACAAGAAATAGTGAAAAAATAGAGCTTTAATTTTTTTTTATTTAGAAACTGGGGTTGGTTCCTAATTATATGTGGGGAAAAAAATCATTTGATAAGCTTATATGTTATACATTTTTTGCTCTACAATGGGGGATAAGAAAAGAAAGACGTTCATAAAATGCAATAAATTAAGGAATATCAGAAAAATTCATCATACTTATGTTGACAAAGGAGTTCTCATATTGATGCAATACTGTACATTGCCTTATTTTTATGGCATTTTACATTCTTTGAAAAGCAACCACAGGTGAATTTTACTAGTCTGATCTTAAATTATTCTAATATCTGACGTGTGTCAGGTTTTTGACTGGCACATGCAGATCCATTTGCAGAGCTGATTATAATTTCTACAAGGAGGTTTTTTTTTTTTTTCTTGAGAAGATTATGGAAATGTCACTTTAAAGAGGTTTAAATTTGAAATGTATATACAAGTGTAAACATAGCTTTCCTATTCCTTGGCTTATAAGAACACTAAGATAATTTCTGAAACTAAGACATTATGTATTAACTCCATGAAAATTTGTAGCCAATCATTTTATTTCAGTTGTAACTTTAAAAAATGAATTGCTTTATGGTGTTCATAGAATTTTAAAACACATTTAAATTATATTCACTACTAAATGTCATAATAGTCTAGCAATCAGCTGTAGTTCTCTCTCTGGTATTTAAAATTCCTTATTTTTCATCCTAGAATTCATAGTATTACCATCAGAAAAATTAGACTAGTTTAAAGCTCAAAAAGAATAAATACATTTAATTAAAATTACTCATCTTTTCTATACATTTTCAATAATGGTAGTAACATGAAATTTTTCTTTCTAACTTAACATCATATGCTGATAAATAAGTCCAAAATTTAAAATCCCATTATTTTTTACTCACTAAATCAGCATGTTATTTCATTTTATAATATATAATAAATCTATAATACATTAAGGATTCCATTAGCAGTAAGCAGCTTTTTCTAACTATATGAGTAGGTAATATGGCTCTGGAATTTTCCAATCATGAGACTAAATTGTTGGCCTGAAAAATTACTTCAACTATGTTGGGTGACTATAAATATTTTCACCAACTTTAAAAAAAATATGCAATAAGTAAACCATTAGTTACATGCTATCCTAGCATAAATTGTTTCTGTTAATTATTGAAAAAGTACCTATCATTTAAAAAACATTCCCAGTTTTCTAAGGAAATATATAGGACAAATGATTTAGAAACTATTAACCTCTTTGACGATGTTTTCAAATGGGACTATTTGCAAACATTACTTTTGCCTATTTAACCATCTTGCCATATTTTTGACTAGTTAGGAATGCTTCTTGAGAGATTTGAATGCCTAATGAAGACAATAGGAATAATATCAGAACTAACATCCGTTTTGATTGCTTGCTACTAATAAAGAAACGTGGTCATTGATACATAGAAAGGATAGACTTGCAGAGAATTTTCAGCAGTTGATAAAATAAAATGTATGCCGTTTACTCATTTTCCTTCCTTTAGCTATTAAGAACCAGGCTACAGGCCATTATATTTTAAATGGCAAAGGGGAGGAAGCCAAGTCGCGGACCTTCATAGACCTTGGTGTGGAGTGGGATTATAACATTGAAGATGACATTGAAAGTCTTCACACGGACGGACCTTTACATGATCCTGTTATTGTTTTGGTATGTGGCATTACGGGTTCATGGTATACCTGGTTCAGCTTATTTTATAATTAATTTATCTGAAAACATTTTTACCTTGAACATTACATGTACTTTGAACATTGAAAAATAAGTTGCTTTTAAAAAAAATTCTATTTATTCTATTTATCTTCCCCCTACTCTGTGCAATATTGTCATGTAATTTACTATATATACATTGTAAACTGAATAATGCAGCTCTGATTTTTGACTTAAATAATCAGTTATCTTTTAAAGACAACACTAAAAAAAAGTAGGTTTTCGTATTTGCCCACATAGTTGGCATTTCAGATGCTTTTCATTCTACTTTGTTTATCTAACATTCCATCTAGTATCATTTACCTTCGGTATAAAGATGTTCCTTTAGCATTTCTTGTGGTGTGGGTGTATTGGCAAGTAATTATCTCAGCTTTCAATGGTCTGAAAATATATTTATTTCACCCTCAGTTTTGAAGGATATCTTTACTATATATAGAACTTGGGTTGCTAGATTTTTGTGTTTTTTTTCCCCTTCTTTCAGCGCTGTGTTTTTATGACGTAGCAAGTTCCACGGGTTTGGGGGTTGATCAAAGAAAAGATATGGCCACAAGGTGGCAGTAGCACACACACACTTTATTTGGGTGAGGCCTCAGCAGGTTTGCAAGTAGGACCACTACCCAGAGGAGAGAAGGGCAAGGCAACTTCTGAGGAAAAGGGGAATCTGAGATGGTTTATGTGCCTAGGTGGTGTCATTTAGCAGCATAGCAGAGAGTCTGGGGATCAGAGGGCTCCAAGGGAGGCAGCAGAGTGAGGTTCTTATAGCCACAAGGTCTTATTCATATCTAGCAGACGTTGGATGCAGTTTCCTAGTGCTGTGCAAAGCAGGCAGTCCCTGAAAGGCTAAAACTCCTTTCCTCTGATCAGCATTAAAAACAACTGGATGTATACAAGATTGTGTTCGGCAGCAGTGGACTATTGAGCTCAGCCTGCTGTGAAGAAATGACGTAGGGCCCACCATGTACAGGAGCCCTCTTTCACTCATTTACAGAGCAATTGTCTTCTAGAATGCATCATATATGAAGAGAAGCCTGATTGATGCTGCACTGCATGGAATGTGTCAGTTTTCTCTGGCCTCTTTTTAAGATTCTTCTCTTCCTCTTCTTGTTTTGTCTTGTTGGTTTAGCAGTGTGACTATGATATACTCAGTTTATGGTGTTCTTTGTATATCTTATGCTTGGGATTCACTGAGAATCTTGGCTTTATAGGTTGATGTTTTTTACCAAATTTGGGTAAATTTCCCATGCTGTCTTCTAGTTAGTTGTTTTCCCAAACCCTCACCCCCACCCCATCTCTCTCTTCTTTACTCCTAGGGCTCATTTAAATCAGTTGAAGTTGTTCCGCAAGTCTCAGGCTCTGTTCATCCTTTTATAATCTACCTTTTTTAAAATAACTTTTTCAGATTGCATTATTTCTTCTGAGCTCTGAGTTCACTGTTTCTCTTATGTGATCTCCAATCTGTCCTTGAGCCTATCCAGTAAATTTTTCATGTCAGATGGTGCACTTTTCTTTGCTAGAATTTCCATTTGTGGGTTTTTTTTTTTTTTTTTTTTTTTTTTTTTTTTTTTTTTTTTTTTTTTTTTGTAACTTTCATTCTTCCATTGAAATTTTCATAATACTCACTCGTTACATCTAAGTTACCCTTTAAGTTCTGGGTCTTCATGTTGTCTATTTTTTTATGGGTCACATTTTCATGCTTCTTACAGTTTTTTTCCTGTATACTTGACATTTTGGAAGCTAAATTGTAAGGTGTCTGGTTTTGTTCTGGCAGGTAGTTATTGTCAGATCATCCCAATCCTTTAAGCCTAGTTTTATTCTTCCTTATGGCTAGTCTATTTCAGTTTTGTCCTTCTTCTAATATTATGGCCTTTCTTAACTGAATACCTGAAGTTTTAGTGAGTCCTCTTCATTCTAGCTGGTCAAGAACCCCTATGATGCTCAGGCATGCCTGGTTTCTGGTATCTCTGTCCCACCATCAGCAGCCCCTCACTGTGGACCACCTGGTGTCTTGGCCAGGGATACACAGACCAATCCTCAGTCATGGCCCATGTAGATTTCTAGATCATCTCTCTAAGCAGACCCCTCTTCTTTAGTGCCCTGACCTGAAAGTTCCAAACTCTAACCTATCTCCTCAGCTCGGTGAGATGGCTGGGCTGGGCTTGGGCCCTCCTACCTGTGCCAGAGTTCAGACCTGGCCGTTGTCAGGAATAAGACCTGGCTTGTTTCTCTTCTTACAAGGATTAGTGTCCTTTGTCATGTTATCCACTGTCCAAAAATAAAAAAAGTTTCTGCACATATTTTATCCAGTTTTATAGCTTTTAATATCAGGAAGGCAGCTCCATTACTCCCTCATGGATGAAAGCAAAAGCCATCTACTTGATTTGAAATTTATTGTTAGTTTCCGTTATATCCAGAATTTTCATTTATTGGATTTCCTATACAATATTATACTAATCTAAAATCAAATTGCTCCACTCAAATTTTAGTCTTTTTTTCCTCTGAAAATTAGTTCCCTTTTGAAATATCTGTTCGAATCTTTTGCCCATTGTTAAAGTTGTTATATTTTCTTTTTGTTGAGTTTTGAGAGCTCATTGTATATTCAATATAAGTCTTCTGTGAAATACATGAATTGCAAATGTTTTCTTCCATTCCATAGGTTGTCTTTTCATTCTTTTAGTAGTTTATTTCGTGGAGCAAAATATTTTAGCTCTACTGAAGTCCAGTTTATTAGTATTTTCTTTTGCGGATCAAGATTTTGGTGTTATGAAAGTTTTTGTCTAATCCAGCATCAAAACATTTTCTCCTACTTTTTTTGGTATACGTTTTAGAGCCATGAATTTTACATTTAGGTATATTAATCACTTTGGGTTAATTTTGCATAAAGTGTTAGGGCCTTATTTTTGCATGTAGATGTCTATATTAGTATCTATTTTTATAAAACAAATTACCCTCAAACTTGGTGGCTGAACACAAGCAGTATTTATAGTTTCTGTGAAACATGTATCTGGACACCACTTAATTATTTCTGGCATAGAGTATCTCATAAGTTTGCTGTCAGCTGTGGCTATAGTCATCTCAGAGCTTGGCTGGGTTACTTTGCTTCCAAGCTTAGTCACATTGCTCCTGAAAGGCCTCAGATGATTGTTTCCCAACTTTTCCATGTGGTGGCTAGCAGTCCCTGATTCCTTGCCACCTAGGCCTCTCCATAGGATGCTTATATGTCCTGACATTATGGCACTGACTCCCACTAGAGCAGGTGACTCAAGTGAGAGAGAACATGGGACAGTGAAACCAAGACGGAATTTTCAGTCCCTTTTTACCTAATCTTAGATATATTTCTTAAACTACCACAATGTCCAGTTGTTTTGGCACTATTTGTTAAAAGACTGTCCTTTGTCTATTAAAATGCCTTTTCAATTATGTCAAAAATTAATTATCCACATTTATATGTTAACCAAAGTTTTAGATTATTTTAAATATGAGTGATTGGAGGTCAGAAGCTCTGCTTCACATGGCTATAATTATATTGTATTCTTTTCTAGCAACATGGGTATCTGGCTTTAGAGACCTGGTGCTTAACATCATGATAGATGCTTCAAGGCCTGCCCGCTGATTATAACCTAACCACAGCAAGTGGTGTGGGCTGGAGATACAAGGGGGAGATTTGCAGCTAGGAGAGGAAGATGTGGACAAGCAATGCTCTATTATTATGACATTTCTTTTCCATTCCGAGTCCTGGATCATTGGGGGCAGAAAGAATTAGATATCTGGCTAGAGTGTAAGGATTGTTCAAATGGTGCTTGATTTTTAATGCTGTTTTAAAAACAAAGAAAAAAAAAAGAGAATAAAAGCCAGGTAACCAGATCCTCTACCCCACTGGTTTTACTATCACCTCATTTCTCAAACAAAAGATAGTTCTAAAAATTTAGGTTGAGAATACCAATGAATAGCATTTCTTTCTTTGCATAATTAGTAAAATCCTATGAAAGCTATGTGAAAATCAATTAATTTTTTAAAAGACCACTTTACCCTGAAAAAAATTAAAAGGCAAGAGACAAACTGAGGAAATATTTGCAACTCTTATGACAAAAAGAGATTAATATCTTGAGTGCACAGATTACTTAGGAAAGAAAAAATACAGTTCCAATAAAAAATACGACTGTCAGTCATGCAATGTACAGTATTCAAAATATAAGTAATGAACAATTAAAATCATATTTTCCCCATCCAATTAATGAAGTTGAAAATTGTATATGTAGTGTCAAATGACCACTTTCATACACTCTCATTAAAATAACAATTGTTCTAACTGTTCTGGAGGACCAGTCGCCAGTCTATCATACAAACTAGAACTATAAAAAGCATTTGTGACCTTTAGTCTACTAAGAAAAGCCAGAAATCCCCATAAATGCAGGGAAAATTTCTAATCAATACAAATATTCAAGAGTGACCACATACTTATTAACAATAATACCTAACACTTTTAGGATTAAAGACCATGCTGACATTTAAAAATATGTTTTCTTTTTTTAACTTTTTTTGTACAAGTGCAATTTAGCCACATAGATATATTGCGTTGTGGTTAAGTAAGGACCTTCAGTGGATCCATCACTGGAGAAATGCTCATTGTACCCACCAAGCAAGTTCCCATTATTCAATTCAACCCCCTTCCATTCCTCCCAACCCCTCTGAGTCTCCAATGACCATCATTCCACACTCCAAAAGCATATTTTCAAAGAATATGTACTATCTTGAGAAATGTGCATAACACATTACATGAAATAAACAAGGCCAGAAAAGTATATATGTCTGTACACACACACACACACACACACACACACACACACAGCCCCGCAAATATCTTGAGGAACTATCACAATAATAAAAGTGACTGGTTTTCTCCATTTAGGTAGAATTATGATTATTTTCTTTATATTTTTTCATAATATATATATTTTCTGGAGGGAACATTGCTATCTTTATCATCATAACAAAACAATTTTCTTTGAAAACAATTTTAAACTGCATTTAAAAACTGGTATAATTTAAGGAAACCTATAGTGAATCTTATAAAGTTATTATTTTTATAATACAAACTCTTTTCAGTGTATATATTTTTAAATACTTTTATGTTAAAAGTTTTAGAGCTATTTCATCTTTTTCTTAAACAGGTCACATTTGCACTATAGTTGATAGAAATAACATAATTTTTGAAACTCTGAAAGTTTTCAGTTTTAATATGAGCATTATTCTGAAATATTTATAATTTTACACTCAAAATTTAAAACCCTCAGGTGATTTACATATTGATTTCTCGTGTATGTTAGATTATACCTCAAGAGAACGATACCCGCTCTAGCCTGACATACAAGTACATCATCCATGAAGACTCTGTACCTACAATCAACAGCAACAATGTCATCCAGGAAGAATTAGATACTTTTGAGTGGGCTTTGAAGAGCTGGTCTCAGTGTTCCAAACCCTGTGGTGGAGGTAACAACTGAACACATTTATTATATTAAAATGTAATGCATATAAAAGTCAATCTTGCTTCTACCTTTAGGGCTGTCTCTAATCGAGGCCACAGTCTGAGAAACACCAAACATAGCCACCAAAACATCAATACAAAATGTGTTTACTAAAATCTCAGTATCAGCAAATAATAGGATTCCTTTCATGACAGTGATAGACCTTAAAATCCTCTTGCCCTTTTCTGTCAGGTTCTTTGTTTTGCATTAACTGTCTTGGTACCCTTAATCACTTTATTCTTACCAAACTCCAGAACTCTCCCAAATTCACTATACTCTGATCCTCACCTTTCTTCTTCTCTACTTTTACTTTCCATATCTCTCTGCAGTTCTGTCAGGATTAATAAAAGAGCTATTGGTTACATGACTGTGTAACTGACTATGCGATGTATTTGAAACCAGCTACTATTCTAAATGCTTTTTATATCAATGCATGAATACCCACAATGGCCCCTGCGATTGGTACTATTGTTATCTCTGATTAAGTCATAGCAAAACTGAAGCACACAGAAGATAATTTCCCAGAGCCCATAGGATTCAGACCCAGGTAACCTGGCTTCTGAACACATGCTCTCACTCCCTGCACTGTGCTGCCTCCGTTCCCTCCCCAGAGTCCATTAAGCTGGGCTCAATGTTTCTCAATTTTTCCCATCATCCATTCCTCTAGTTCTAAACAAGTGCTCCATTACCAATTCTCCCCACATGGGTAAGAGAAGGCAAGAGGCGGTTACAAAACTGACAGCAGATAATTGAGAACAAAAAAATTGTATTAGGCAATACTTGTATAAATTATTTATTTTATAATTTTAAGTTCAAGCCTGTATTTCCAAAGTGTTTTCTTGAGGGAGGCATACAATATTTTTAGTTAATTATTTTAGATGCTTATTTAATTCAGATCCTCCCTTCTGCTGTACTCTCAACATTTGCTTGGTCATAATATTTATCAGATATACCTTCTTCATATCTACCACATCTATTCCTTCTTCACCAGACTTCAGTCACCATATTAGGAGGGACGATTATTGCAATAGCCTTTTAGCTGGTCAACTAACATCGATGTTCTTCTTTTCCTTAATTTACAGGGTAATTTTTTTTGAATGAATGAATAAATGAATGGTAAATTATATTATTTCCCAGATTAAAATCCTTCAGTCTTCCAATATGTTGTCCTGAAGACACATCACTGTTTTATGTAGCATTCGTGCCAAAAGTGAATAACCTCAATTTTATCATTAGAACACAATTAAACAGGTCCAAATTTTGGAACATTTTATAAAACAAATGGTTTTTACATTTCAAAAATAGTAATGCCATAAGACAAAGAGGTTCAGTAATTGTTTCTGATTGATGGAGGTTAAAGACGTAACAGTTAAATGCAACATATGATCCTTGATTTGAAAAGTATTGCTACAAATAACATCATTAGGGACAACTGAACATTTTTGAATGGGTCTGTATGTTATGTAATAATAGCATTATATCTATGTCAAATGTCCTGATTTTAAGAATTATAGTTATATAAGAGAATGTACTTCTGAAATCTGTGCTTAAATATTCATTTCGCAGTGAGGGATCAGGATGTCTGCAACTTTCAAGTGGTTCAGCAAAATTATATATGTATTTACACACATACGCATATATGAAGAAATATAGCAAATGTGACATAGTCACAAAAAATCAATCTAGATGCAAGGCATACAAGTATTCATTGTTTTTTTTTTTCCTTACAATTTTTGGATTAGTTTGGATTTTTTTCAGATATATAGACATAATTACAAATATAAAAGTTGATGCTTGAGTGACCCTCAGTAACTCCCTATAACCTTCAAGAATAATGTCCAAACACTTGTTAGACACTGAAGGCTTTCAAGATCTGATCCTTCCCTGTCTCCTGCCCTCTTCACACATGATACTTCAGCCATCTGAAGATGCCACAGTTTTCCATATGTTATTTCCTTTGCTTAGAGAATAATTCTGCTTCATTTCTTTTACTCCATACTGTTTGAACTGCAGTATTCTGCTGAAGCAAACTGTGGATCCTCCAAGCTTTCCCCTCCCCTCCTCCAAGTTTCAGATCTCTTCCCTCTGTGTTCCTTTGCTGCCCTCTACTGTAAGTTCTTTACTTAGTTCTCTAAAAGCCTAATAGGTCCCTAGATATTGTCACAGTGGTTTTCAGATCTGTCTCTCACACTGGACTGTGTATATTTAGAGCCTAGTTCTTTAACAGGTTTGCAGTTGGAATATTTATCAAATATATGTTCTCAAAAGGCAAAATTTTTTGTTTATTTAATGTTCTTTGGGACCTTCAGCACCTACTGAAGTGATTGGCTAATTGTATGCACTCAATACATATTTACTGAATGAATGAATGAGTGAGTGAATAATCAAGTAACTAACAGCATGAATAAGTGATTAAATCCAAAGAAATTTATTTCCTTTTACAGGTTTCCAGTACACTAAATATGGATGCCGTAGGAAAAGTGATAATAAAATGGTCCATCGCAGCTTCTGTGAGGCCAACAAAAAGCCGAAACCTATTAGACGAATGTGCAATATTCAGGAATGTACACATCCACTGTAAGCATTTATTTTAACTATCATATCTAGAAGTCAAAATCAGAACTTAACTGCCTTTAGCTCTTTTTAGTTTTTATTTCATTTTCAGTCAAAGCTCTATATATACATGGTTTACATAGTCAAGTCACTTTACAGGAATTACATAAAGCTGTAGTTCTCTGCCTTTCACCACATTCTTTTTCCTCAAAAAACCACTTTCAACCATTGTATTTTGACATTTGGTAATTACTTTCTTCCTTCTCTCTATGTAAAATGTTTTTGCTTCTATTCCTTGACTTTTGGGGAGGTAAGGTGTCAGACATTATACATTTAATTTTCACTGTGAAATCTGAAGATTGTATTATTTTACGATCCCTCCATAAATACAGAACCACAGGCCACACTTTTTCCTTCCCTGCTACTTCCAATACTGACCTAACATACCTTTTACTGATTGCAATATGCAGGGTTTATATTAACATGTATCTCTTTTAATACCTGAGTCACATATCATCCTCTGGTTGATTTCCTTCTTGTGAAATTGTTTATTTCAGAATAAATGAATATCTTGATTGTATGTACTTGATCTTCTAGCACTTTTTCCCAATTCATTCCCAAACTCTCTCAGTATCAGTCGCCTCTAAATACTAAACATCCAGTATCCTGTCACTTTAATCTCCATAGACACAGGAGAGTCTTAGAGAACGGAGAGCTCTCTGTGTTCCAGCTCCAGCCTGGACTTTTTACCTAGGGCTTCCTTTCATCATCTTCCTAGGAATTCCAACTACCTTTCTCTTCTGTGGGATCTCCTGTTATTCTAAACTATAATATATCATCCTTTGGACTCAAAAATATTGTTCTGTTATTTTCTGCATTCAGGTGTTGCTGTTGAAAAGTCAGTTGCCATTCTGATTCTCAGTGCTTTCTCTGTGACATGTTTTGGTCTGTCTTTCAAAGTTTGTAGGACCTTCATTTTATTTCTAGTGTTCTGAAATGGACTTGGTGCCCATTTTTACACATCATTTTGCTGTATACTTGTAGAGTTTTTTAATTGAAAAATAAAAAATGTTTTTATAGGGTACAATGTAATGTTTTGATGTATGCATAAGTTGCGGAATGATTAAATCCAGCTAATTAACCTATCACATGCTTATCATTTTTTTGGTGGTGAACTCATTTAAAATCTGCCCTCCTAGCAATTTTGAAATATCCATTTCAAAATTGTTAGCCATAGACACTATGCTGTTTAGAACTCAAAAACATATTTCTTCTAACTGAAACTTTGTACCCCTTGACCAACATCTCTCCATTACCCCTTCATCCTCACCCAAGCCCCTAATCACCACCATTCTACTCTTTACTTCTATGAGTTCCACTGTTTTATATTCCACATATCAGTGAAGGTCACATGCTATTTGTCTTTCTGTGTCTGATTCATTTCACTTAGCATAACATCCTCCAGGTTCACCCATATTGTGGAAAATGACACAAACTTTTTAAAATATAAAATGGATAACTTTTATCTCTGGAAGATTTTCTTGTATTTTTTTTTTAATTGCCCTATGTTTTTCAGTGTTTTTTCTTTCTGGGACATTTGTAGCTTGACTTTTCTCTCCTATTGTTCACTGTTGCATTTGCTGAATCCTTCATTTCTGCTATCACATTTTTAATATTCAAGAGCTCTGTTTTATCATATTGTTAATATTCAAGTATTTCTTTATCAAGGCATTTGATATTTATTTCACAGATGCAATATAATCTTTTATCTCTTTTAGAATATCAAAGATTCATCTCCTGTTTCTAAATTATTTCTTTTGAGTTATTTTCTTCCATTTCTCTACATACACCCACCCCACCTCTATCATTGACATTAGAGGATTTCTGTGTGGTGATCCTGGAATGTTCATACATGTATAAAAATGCAGTGTTTAGAAGGCTGATTAGAAGTTTGCTCTGCAGTTGTAGCTGGTGAGCTGAACTATGGGGTGATCCAACTCAGCCATTTTAAGGCCCTCAATTAGTTGTATATTTAGGCCTTTTCTTATAAAATAGATTCCATAGAGCAGAATCAATTTCTTGCCGAGGGAGTGTAAGCCATTTTAAGTGCTGTTCTAGAAATGTTGTGTGTATAGGTGTCTAAAGCGGTCTCACCATCTCACAGATGGATTTTTACATAATCTTCTGTTTTCACCATGGTTTCCTTCTCTCTTGATCATGCCTATTATATCCAGTTAAGTCTGGTTCACTTTCTACAGAGGATAAACCTCATGTCTTCTTCTGCGTTGGAGGAGGGTGAGTCGCCCTGTATGGATAAGAATCAGGAGGTCTAACTGCTTCCAAACAGACTTTTCATTAGTTCTCCTGCTTTCAATCCTGGCTTCACCCTTGTTTTCACAGCTCACACTGTATCTGGGGTCTCTAATCCCTCAATATTTCTAAAGTTCTGCCGTGCAAGTCTGTTTGCTCATCACCTTGTACTGCTGAGTTGGACTTCATTCTTCTTAGGTCTGCTGAGTTCGCTGCCATATGACCATCTGTTTTCTAGCTTCCAAAATTATGTTGTTGTGACTTCCTCTCAAATTTCTTTGCCTTTCTAGATTTCAAATTTTTTTTGTCATTTACTTTCATTCTGGGATCTTAAGAGGGAATGAAGGTAATCAGAAGTACCTATATCTGTGAAGTATAATATTTGTCTTCAAAAGAGAATCATCACCGAGGTCTTCAAAATTGAACAAAATTCCTCAGTCCAGTTGCCATGATACATTTTACTGCCAGTTGGACAAGCTAAAGCAGGCTTAAACTGTGAATACCAAAGACTGCCAAGGTTTTAGCATGGTTATATTTTGGTGCCTCACATATATGGGAAGAAAAAAAATTGCAGAGGGAAAGTAACTTTGGAAGGCGAAGTTAATTTTAGCTGAATTATATGCAGACAGATTGCGTAACCAGATGGAGTCGATGGTGGCAGCCCTTTGGGGCTTGGTAACCATGTGTAATGGAGAACTGTGTGTAATGTTGTATCCGCAGCTGATTTGTAGCGTGCTTGGGACACTGACATTGACACTAGAATTTGGGAATGTCCCCTGGTAAATATTTTGGAAAATGCTTCTGGAAATATTTCTATCAGGAGCATTCATGTGAACAGGTTTTACCCAGCTCTGATCCACACCACCCTTACCTCTTGTCATATTCTGCAGAGGATAAACCTCATGTCTTCTGGGTTGGAAGAGGGCAAATTTTTATGAGCTCTATAGAGTTCACTTGTGTTTAAATATTTTAACTGATATGACTGTTTGTTTTATTTCTACAGTTGTTGCTATCCTTGAAAATTGCCTTCATGCCTAAATCTAACAGGAAAACTTTAAGATGAATTTCAGAAACCCTCTGTAGATCCTCCTTTAGGAAAGGAGGAGGTTTCAGAGTCACTGAGAGGCAGAAAAAACAGTAGAGCATTACAAATAAAAGCTTCAGGCTACTATTGTTAAAAAGTTATCCATTATATCCATCTTTCTGAAACCACTTCCTGAACTGCAATGTGCCCCACTAGGTTGCAGGTTATTCAGAGAGCAGAAAAGTCTAGGCTTTGCCATGCGGGCATGTGTACCCTATACATCCCAGTGGTAATTTCAATATGAACCCCCCGCACCCACAGCTGGGTAGCAGAAGAGTGGGAACACTGCACCAAAACCTGTGGAAGTTCTGGCTATCAGCTTCGCACCGTGCGCTGCCTTCAGCCACTCCACGATGGCACCAACCGCTCTGTGCACAGCAAGTACTGCGTGGGTGACCGCCCTGAGAGCCGCCGGCCCTGTAACAGAGTGCCCTGCCCGGCCCAGTGGAAAACAGGACCCTGGAGTGAGGTAGGTGTGTGAATTCTGTGCATGTGTGTATAAGCACGTGTAGATATTTTAGTTTGGCTTAAACATCAGTTAGGCTTCATATGAACTGAGAAACTACTGCATATTTTGTAATTAACTGCAGGTGTTAGGAAAAATTAATGCTTTAAAATAGTTTGTGCACTTATGTTTAGTTGGTAGGGGGCAAACCATGTTTATGTGTTTTGTAACATGGAGAAGTCAGAAAGATGATTGTTCTTTTGTCTCATGTTTTTGTTGACTTCTCTATTCCCTCAGGATAAATTCCAAACCTCTGATACAGAAGGCAGGGCCCAGCCCCACTTGGCACTGCACTATCTCCTCTTATTCTTTCTTCATTCTAACTCTTTGTCTCAGTTGAAGTAAACTTTTCACTGTTCCAGACCATGCTTGTTTGAGCTTCCTACCTTTCAGCTGACTCAGACTCCCCGTCCTCCTATCTAATAATCTCTCCTTCTTGACCAAAGCTCATCTCCGTAGTCCAAATGACCACCTTGCAGGTGGTACCTTTCCTGGCAGTTCCTCCTCTACATCTGAAAGGCAGTAAAACTTAACTTTATCATGCTGTTCATGACAGAGTATTATAACTCTGATCTTTGAATCTATGAATCTATATTTGCCACTAGTACACACATTTCTCAAAAATGGTATGCCTTCTTTCCTCAGTACTCAGCTAGTGCCCAGCATACCTGTCCAGATGATGTTTGTTAATTGGCAGACTCAATGTTGCATTGTCAGCTATTACCACCTGTCTTAGGTATTTCTAAAGACTTAAAATAAGAAATCTTGGGGTCATAGGAGAAGAGCTTATAGGAGGAAAGGGCATCAAAAAGCAGAGAACTAATGAGGAAGTGGAGAGTAGGCCCAGAAAGGAAGAGACAAGCTGCTTTAACAGAATACCACAGGTTGGGTAATTTATCAAGAACAAAGGTTTATTTGGCATATGGTTCTGGAGGATGCAAAGTCCAAGAGTGTGGCATTGGCACTTGGAGATGGGGGTCCTCTAGCAGAAGGTATTACATGGCAAGGAGGCATGCAAGAGAGACAGAAGATCCTTCCACCAGGAGCCCATTTCTGCAATAACTAACCCATTCCCAAGATAATAGCATTAACCCATGCCCATACATCACCTCTGAAAGGTCCCACCTCTTAACGGTCCCGCTCAACATTGTTACAATGGCAGTTAAATTTCAACATGAGTTTTGGAGGGGACATTCAAACCACAGCACAAGTGCAGGTCACCCACATCGGACCATAATGATAACTCATTATCAGTCTCAGTAGAAGTCTCTCCTCCACAGAAACTTCCTAGGGCCATTGCATGGAAGTTTCTGAGCTTAGTTTTAGAGTAGCAAATTTTCATTTGAGAAATGAATTAAGAGCATAGAGTATTTTGCCATCTGTAAGAAAGAAGGAGGAGGCCGGGTGTGGTGGCACGCACCTGTAATCACAGCACTTAGGGAGGCCAAGGCAGGTGGATCACGAGATCAGGAGATTGAGATCATTCTTAGCCAACATGGTGAAACCCCATCTCTACTAAAATACAAAAAACTATCTGGGCATGACGGTGGGTACCTGTAGTCCTAGCTATTCAGGAGGCTGAGGCTAGGGAATTGCTTGAACCTGGGAGGCAGAGGGTGCAGTGAGCAGAGATCATGCCACTGCATTCTAGCCTGGGCAACAGAGTGAGACACTGTCTCCAAAAAAGGAAGAAGGAGTGGGGACTCTCAGTACCATGATTGGGTGGGAGAACAGACATCATCAACGTTGTTTTTAGAAACTACAGAAGATTTTAACGTTGTTACTAATCATGGCTTCTTTCATATGGAATGCTTACCAGGCATTTTGCTATATATACATTGTTTCCTTTGCCTTCATTTAGTCCTAAAACAATCTTATAAGGCAGGTATTATTATCCCAGCTTTCCACCAGATAAAGAAGATGAGTCTCATATAGAAAAAACAATGTGCCCAGGCCAGTAAATAATGGAGTCAGAATATAAACTCAGTAGTATCTGTCTTCAAAACCATTGTGCCACATCACTTAGTAGAGAAGGAACTCCAGATCTGTGTGTCTGTGTGTGTATCTGCATGGTCTTGGTGGAATAAATGTCTGTAACCACAGCCTTTGTCTCTGCAGTGTTCAGTGACCTGCGGTGAAGGAACAGAGGTGAGGCAGGTCCTCTGCAGGGCTGGGGACCATTGTGATGGTGAAAAGCCGGAGTCAGTCAGAGCCTGTCAGCTGCCTCCTTGTAACGGTAGGTATGACACCAATTGACTTCACTGCTCTGATAATGTTTTTAAGCCTCAAAAAGCAGAATTTCCTTTCAAGAGGAATTACAGAATTTATATTTGTTTACTGATAAATAACCAAAGGAAAACACCTGTGAAATATTAGCCCAATTCAGTTCTTTAAGATCAGCATTTGAGGCAATGTCCTACACTTTTTAATTATCATGACTGCTACAGCCCTGCCACTTCTGGCTGGTGACATTGGAGTGAGGGCTTTCCCAGGTTTATGTAGCTTCTATCAATTTGTGTTGCTAATAGGAACTACTTAATTTTTCCTTGTTATATTTATAAAACACTACATCTTTGTTAAATGGCATAATATTGCAGAAGGTTTTGAAATATTTTACTAAAATTATTCAATTTTGATGTGCCGGTAATGCCATTCAACTCTAAATCCACTTCCAATAACTGTCTTTCCCTAGAGTAACTTCAAATAGACACTTTGCACATAGGATAAAATTCAGCATTTGCCTGACCTGCCAATTTGCTGTATGGCGAAAGCAGAGTATATTTTCTATATGTAGTCAATTTGCTATAAACAGCAAAATGGGGCCACGCATGGTGACTCATGCCTGTAATCCCAGCACTATGGGAGGCCAAGGTTGGTGGATCACCTAAGACCAGGAATTTGGGACCAGCCTGAACAACATGGTGAAACCCCATCTCTACTAAAAATACAAAAATTTGCCAGGCATGGTGGCACATGCCAGTAATTTCAGCTACTTGGGAGGCAGAAGAAGGAGAATCGCTTGAACCCAGGAGGTGGAGGTTGCAGTGAGCCAAGATTGCACCACTGCACTCCAGCCTGGGTGGCAGTGAGACTCCATCTCAAATAAATAAATAAATGGATAAAACAAGCGAAACATATTGGATGGTTTCTGTCTCTATCACTGTCTTCTTCTGCCTCCATTTCTGTAGCTCTCTATCCACATCATCTGTCTCTGTCTTATACTCGCTCATCTGTGTCTCCATTTGCTCTCCTTTGTCTCTATTTTTGGTGTCTGTCTTGCTGTGTCTCTGATGAGCTGCACCTGCTGCCTGGATGTGGCTCACTTTCTGTATGTCAGTCACACATGCTTTCTAGGCCTTACTCTTCCTTCTTGCTCTCCTTCCCTCTTCTTCTCCTAGTCTCCCTGGCTCTACCTCCTGTCATTCTTTTTCCCTCTCATCTCTCTCTCCTCCTGCATCTTCCTGGCTCTCTCTTCTTTATTCCATGTGTCTGTCTCCCCTCCCTGTTTTCTCCTTCTCAGTGTCCTCCCCTCTACCATCTCCCTTTCTCTTTCTTTATCCTCCCCTTCCTCTTCCTGTCTCTCCAACTCTGTCTGTCTCTGTCTCTCCATCTCTCCCACCTTTCTCTCTCTCCCTGTCTTTTGTCTCCTCCATTGCCTTAGTCTAACTGTTGTAACAAAATACTTGAGGCTGGTTAATTTATAAAAACAAACAAACAAAAAAAGTTTTATTACTCAGAGATCCAAAGTCTGGAAGTCCAAGATCAAGGCATTAGCAGATTTAGTGTCTGGTGAAGGCTTCTTAGATGGTGCCTTGCTGTTCTGTCTGCATGTGGTGAAAAGGTGCCAGAGGGTTCCCTTGATCCTTTTTTATAAGGCACGAATTCCATTCACAAGAACTCCACCCTTAAGGACTAGTCACCTCCCAAAGACCCCACCCTGCTAGTACCACCCCCTTGAGGATTAGTTTTCAACACAGGAATTTTGGGGACACACATTCAGAGCATAGCACCCACCTTCTTCCTCTCCTTCTTCCAGCCACTTTGTCTCTCGACTCCTCCATCTTTTACTCCTTGTGTCTGTCTCTTTCTCCTCGTTTCTCTTTCTAGCTCCTCTGATCTCATTTTCTCTCCCCAAGTCACTCTCCCACCACCCTCATCTGTTTGTCTTACTCTCTCTTCCTTTATATTTTCTCCTCCTCCCTTCTTTTCCTAGCTCACCCACCCTACTCCATCACAACCTTCCTTTTAAATGCAATTCTGTTAATCCATGCCCGTGACAGCTTTGGACATTATTTTGACACATTAGAAGACTCAAGACTAAAGAAGTTGCTTTTCCTTGGCCTCCAACACCCTCAACAAAAAGGACGTCCACTCAAAGATCCCATCCAAAGGTCACCAACTTCAAAGAACAAAGGTAAGTAAGTCCATGAAGATGAGAAGAAACCAGCACAAAAAGGCTGAAGTCTCCAAGAAGCAGAATGTCTCTTCTTCTCCAAGGGATCACAACTCCTTACCAGCAAGGGAAGAAAACTGGATGGAAAATGAGTTTGACGAATTGACAGAAGCAGGCTTCAGAAGGTGGGTGATAACAAACATCTCCAGGCTAAAGGAGCATGTTCTAACCATTGCAAAGAAGCTAAGAACCTTGAAGAAATGTTAGACAAAATGCTAACTAGAATAACCAGTACAGAGAAGAAAATAAATCACTTGATGGAGCTGAAAAACATAGCACAAGAAGTTCATGAAGAATATACAAGTATCAATAGCCAAATCAATCAAGCAGAAGAAAGGATATCAGAGATTTAAGATCAGCTCAATGAAATAAAGTGAAAAGGCAAGATTAGAGAAAAAAAGAGTAAAATGAAATGAACAAAGAATCCAAGAAATAAGGGATTCTGTGAAAAGACCAAATGTACATTCAATCGGTATACCTGAAAGTGATGAAAAGAATGAAAACAAATTGGAAAACACTCTTCAAGATATTATTCAGGAGAACTTCCCCAACATAGTAAGAGAGGGCAATATTCAAATTCAGGAATACGGAGAACACCACAAAGATCCTACTTGAGAAGAGCAGCCCAATACATAATTATCAGATTCACCCGGGTTGAAATGAAGGAAAAAATGCTAAGGGCAGCCAGAGAGGAAGGTTAGATTACCCACAAAGGGAAGTCCATCAGACTCACAGTGGATCTCTTGGCAGAAACCATACAAGCTAGAAAAGTGTGGGGGCCAATATTCAACATCCTAAAAGAATTTTCAACCCAGAATTTCATTTCCAGCCAAACTAAGCTTCATAGGCGAAGGATAAATAAAATCCTTTACAGACAAGCAACTGCTGAGAGATTTTATCACCACCAAGACTGCCTTACATGAGCTCCTGAAGGAAGTGCTAAACATAGAAAAGAACAACCAGTACCAGCCACTGCAAAAACATACCCAGTTGTAAAAACCATCGACAGTATGAGGAAACTGCATCAACGAATGGGGAAAACAACCAGCAGGCATCAAAATGGCAGGATCAAATTCACACATAACAATTATTAACCTTAAATGTCAATGGGCTAAATGTCCCAATCAAAAGACAGACTGGCAAATTGGATAAAGGGTCAAGACCCACTGGTATGCTGTATTGAGGAGACCCATCTCATGCACAAAGACACACATAAGCTCAAAATAAAGGAATGGAGAAAGATTTACCAAGCAAGTGGAGAGCAAAAAAAAAAAAAGGAAAGAAAGAAAAAGCAGGGGTCACAATCCTAGTCTCTGATAAAACAGACTTTAAAACAACAAAGATCAAAAGAAACAAAGAAGGGCATTACATAATGGCAAAGGGATCAATGCAACAAGAAGAGCTAACTATCCTAAATATATATGCACCCAATACAGGAGTGCCCAGATACATAAAGCAAGTTCTTAATGACTTGCAAAGAGACTTAGACCCCCCCGCACAATAATAGTCGGAGACTTTAACACTCCACTGTCAATGTTAGACAGATCAGCAAGACAGAAAATTAACAGGTATATCCAGGATTTGAACTCAGATCTAGATCAAGTGGACCTAATAGACATCTACAAAACTCTCCACCACAAATTCACAGAATATACATTCTTCTCACCACCGCATCACACTTATTCTAAAACTGACCACATAATTGGAAGTAAAACACTCCTCAGCAAATGCAAAAGAATGGAAATTATAACAGTCAGACCACAGTGCAATCAAATTAGAACTCAGGATTAAGATGCCAGATATAGGTGATGGGGGATGGAGGCAGCAAACCACATTGCCATGTATGTACCTATGCAGTAATCCTGCATGTTCTGCACATGTACCCCAGAAATTTAAAATATTATACATTTTATAGATAGATAGATAGATAGATAGACACTCACCACACAACTATATGGAAACTGAACAACCTGCTCCTGAATGACTACTGGATAAATAATGAAATGAAGGCAGAAATAAAGATGTTCTTTGAAACCAGTGAGAACAAAGACACAATGTACCAGAATCTCTGGGACACATTTAAAGCAATGTGTAGAGGGAAATTTACAGCACTAAATGCCCACAAGAGAAACAAGGAAAGATCTAAAATCAAAATCCTAAAGTCACAGTTAAAAAAACTAGAAGAGCAAGATCAAACAAATTCAAAAGCCAGCAGAAGACCAGGAATAACTAAGATCAGAGCAGAACTGAAGGAGATAAAGACTCAAAAAACCCTTCAAAAAAAATCGATGAATCCAGGAGCTGGTTTTTAAAAAGATCAACAAAATAGACCACTATCCAGACTAATAGAGAAGAAAAGAGAGAAGAATCAAATATATGCAATAAAAAATGATAAAGGGGGTATCACCACTGATCCCAAAGAAATACAAACTACCATCAGAGAATACTACAAACATCTCTATGCAAGTAAACCAGTAAATCTAGAAGAAATGAATAAATTCCTGGACATTTGCACCCTCACAAGACTAAACCAGTTAGAAGCTGAATCCTTGAATAGACCAGTAAGAAGGTCTGAAATTGAGCCAGCAATGAATAGCCTACCAACCAAAAAAAGTCCAGGACCAGACAGTTTCATAGCTGAATTCTACCAGAGGTACAAAGTGGAACTGCTCTCATTCCTTCTGAAACTGTTACAAACAATACAAAAAGTGAGAGTCCTCCCTAACTCATTTTATGAGACCAACATCATCTTGATACCAAAACCTGGCAGAGACACAACAAAA